CCCAGGGTGGGTGAGCACTGACATGGCTGGACCCAAGGCTACCAAGAGCCCAGAAGAAGGAGCTGAGACCCCAGTGTACTTGGCCCTTCTGCCCCCCAATGCTGATGGGCCTCATGGACAGTTTGTTTCAGAGAAGAAAGTTGAACCATGGTGAGCTGAACTCACAGCTGTATCTGTGGGCTCTGTGTGGTAACTTGTCCTGATTTGACCCAAGGCACATTTACAATGTCAAAAATAATCCCCCAAAATAAAAATATTCCTATCCAGTACTCATTACTAATGTACTGCTAACGAATAGGCTACTCAGAGTTGACAACTAATTCCGTGAAGTCTTTGATGATTTTTTTCATGGGATACAAGAGAAAAAGTATAGTTGCTGGGACTTATGAATGAAAATCAATACATGAATAAATGTTTCTTTGTAAATACTCATTTGTACAGATTCTTTGTTTGCCGAACCACCCATCTTGGAAGTATGGTCAGACTAAAAGGTTAAGGAAGGGATAGGTCAGCAAAATAGGAAGAGGCAGATAGTGAATATTTCCAGCTTTGTAGTCCACACAATTGGAGGCAAGCACTCAAATCTGCCATGTGTGACAAAAAACAAAATGTAAATCAATGAGCAAGTTGGACTTAGCATTCAGACTTTAGTTTACCAACCGCTGGGTAAGCATGAATGATACCACAAAGGGAAAGGCAGTTCCCCAGGCCTGTAAAAAGCCACAATGGGGCCAGCAGCAATGGCCCAACAATAACACACACTGACGCCAGGCCCATGTGGGAAGAAGTTTCCAAATTTGCATCTGGAGGTCTCCATGGACATATGATCCAGGTCTGGGAAAGACTGGGGGTGCACTGTGGTATGAAGACTGTTGAGGGTGTGCATATATGTCTCCGAAGAAATAAAACTTTTAAAAGATTAGTTTAAAAATGTGAAGTCCCGGGGGGACCAGCAGTTAGCATAATGGCTATGTCGCTGGACTCCCACGTAGTCGACCGCAGTTCGTGTCCCGGACCCGGTAGCTTAGAACTCACGCCGGGTGCATGTGCATGCATGCCCAAGATCCCGAGAGGAGAATGGAGGAGAAGGGATTGCAGCGGGCTATCCCCCTGGGGGATGATTTCTTGCTTTCTGTCTCTCTGTCTCTCTGGCGAGCGCACGTGACCTATAGCAAAAACCTCTCCAAAAAAAAAAAAAAAGTTAAGTTCTTGGGGAGAAACAACCAATTTGCAATGTGTGAAACATAACTTATGTGAAACATTCTGCTGTGAAAGATTGAGACAAAAGAATCGTTAAATTCCCTCAATGTGAATATGTTATTAATGTAGGGAATAAGGTGTCATGAAGTCTGTAACATTTGCTTCAACAAAAATATATACAGAGATGAACAATCTAAGTCAAAATGTTAACAACTGTCCAGCCTTGGTGGATATGGAGGTGTCTGTTACACTACTCTTGACTTTCTGTTTGAAAGCTTTTAAAACATGGAGGGGAACAGATTCCAGGCTCTACTACATGGGTCCATGAACTCATGAGATTACTACATCTTGTCTCAGTTTCCTTAATTGTCCTATAGGGATAATGGTCCTAGGATTATGTTTATTGATATAAGATGGAAAAAAAAATACCTGGCACAAAGTCTGCCATCATTAGTGCCTGTACTCTGGGTCAGTACCACCCCTGGAGCTGATAAGAAGCACCTGTTTGCTTCAGATCACCCACTTGAGCTCTCCCTGGGCATGTGCAAATGTCCACTCTGTTCCCGCCCTCCCACAGAATCACTACACATTATACAAGGATTCTACTTCACGATTTTTCTCACTTTCTAGATTACAGAAATGAAAATCTATCACCTCTAAAAACAAGGATGTAGTTCTTACTTTAAAGTGAGATTTACTTTACAAAATTCACCCTTTAATAGAGCTGTTAATTCCCTCCTAGTTATTTTGTTTTTGTAAACAGACACCAGAAGAACAACAATGTCTAAGGTCAAGAATATAATATTTCAAGTGCTAGTTTGGAAATATATACCTGCATTGCAAGACATTTTCCCTTAATACTCTTTTAAAAAATCACCTGCTTTCTCTAAGAGCTTTAAAGAAAACATCATCCCAAAGTCAAATACCTAGTGCCTCTGGGAGAATGAAACACACAAGTGATTCCATCTGAATTATTAAGAATTTCTTAAACTAGGAGTATAAGCACATAGTACTAAAATTAAAATTTCAGAAAATACGCAATCATGACTCTCACAGATAAAAGTAAGGTGAGTGTATGTTTTATTTCCTAGAGGGCACATGCACCCAGCGGAGAGAGACAGACAGAGGAAAAGTGAGAAAGCACCCACCAAAGTGGCATCCACCTTGCAATTCCTTCTCCATTTCTCCTTTAGGGATTTTGGGCACACACACACATGGCCTGGCATGTCCCTCAAACTACCAGGTCCAGGACTCTTAACTAGACAGCCAACCATGTGGAATCCAACCACCTCAACAACCGTGCCATGGACTGGCCTAGTAAATTCTCAGTAACAATGCATTGAGTTGTTGGAAAACTCATGATGGATTTTTATATAGAAAAACATAGAAAAAGTATGTAATGACTTTTCTGATAACCCAGTATTTTGTCCCGTATGGTATGAGGGAACCAGGCAAGTGTTATAACCAATTCAAAGGAAAAACAAAGGGCACAGAAATAAAGAAACGTGCAGCTAAACTGCAGAAGGAGACCTAACTGTTTCACTGACTGGAGAGGAGGTCATTTAAACCTCTACTGGGGTGGATGTGACAAAGAGGTAGAACGCAATGCTCTGCAGGTCTCACCCACACAGGAAGGTTCCAAGTTTACATCCAGAGACCTCCCTGAGTGTTCCATGTGCCGGTGATCCAGAGCTGGCTAAAGCTGGGGTTGGATTGCATCTCCAGTACCTTGTCCATCTCTCTCACTTATGGAAGAAATACATTTGGGGAAAAAAAAGATTAAAAGAAAAATAGGGGCCGGCAGGTGGGGCGGTGGTTAAGGGCTCTGGATTCCACATGGCTGACTGCAGTTTGAGTCCTGGACCTGCTGGTTTGCTTTCTCATTCTCCACTCTTCTCTCTCTCACTCTGTCCCTCTGTGATCAAATTAAAATAAACAAATAAATAAAGTTAAATAAAATAATTGTTTCAAAAGTTGAAATTCTTTTAAAAAAATAATATACAGGGCAACTTTCATGTATCTATCAGTTACCTTCAAACTAGAAATAGATGTGAAATCTGTCAAATAATTAATAAGACTATACCTATTGTTATAACCCTTCCCTTGGAAACACCCTTCACTGTGTCACGTATAAGGGATCTTTAATATGTTCATAAAACTGACTTTTTTTTTTTTTGCACCAAAAATACTTGTGGGACCAGGCAGTGGCATGGTGATAATATAACTGGACCCACATGGAGAAGGTCCTGGGTTCATGTCCTGGGATCTACCTCAGCACACCAGGCACACATGCCTGTGATCAGGCTGGCAGGGGCTGGAATGAATCATGGTGTGGGGACCCTGTTTGAGGTGCCTGCTTTTTTCTCTCTCCATCTCTTTCTCTCCCTCTCTCACACACCAAGGACATGGATAAATAGATAAACTTAAATATAAATTTTAAATGAACTACTTTCATTCCATGTTTCCACAAACTTATTGAAGTACCCTCTTATGACCCTGACAAACACCAACTCTCATACTTAACCATCATGCCAAGCCTGCACCAGCACTTAGACAATGCTGGAGAGGGAGGAATCTCGAAAGAGGACTGCTGGTAGGATTAATGAGATTGAAAACAACAGTACCACTCCAGTAAATCCCTGCAGGCTCTGCTAACTTCATGCAGGCTCTGCTAACTTCATACTCCATCCTCACAGTCCCAACCCTCGAAGCAAACAGGGGCTTTTTTTCTTTTTCAGAGAGGTTTTTGCTATAGGGCTCATGCGCTCGCCAGAAAGACAGAGAGAAACAGAGAGATAGAAAGCGAGAAATCACCCCACAGGGGGAATGGCCATGCCACAATCCCTTCTCCTCCATTCTCCTCTCGGGATCTTGGGCACACACGCACACGTGCCCGGCGTGAGTTTAAGCCACCGGGTCTGGGACTCAGACCACGGTTGGCTACATGGGAGTTTGGTGACATAGCCATTATGCTAACTGCTGGTCCTGCAAACAGGGGCTTTTAAAAGAAACTCAGAGAGACTATATCTGGGGTAGGTGCATGTTTGCCCTGACCGCCTCATATCGGTCTTAACAATGGCTAGCTGGGTTGATGAGTCATCATTAACCTAAACCACACAACAGGAAGAGAAGGAATGGAGGGCCCTGAGATGTCATCAATCTTTAAGAAATAGAAGGCTAGTCAGCAATACTGCTAACAGTCTACCCTCTTTCAGCCTCATTGTGGTCCATATAATCCTATGTACCCATCTTCCAAGAATCCCCTAAGGCCAAATATCAGGAGGTATCTTGTATTCTCCGTGATCTCTTTAAGGCACGTTGTTTCTCTCTGCACAGCTACCATTCCATGCCCCTTAAGATCATCAGCTCATGGGCAACCAGCAGTTAGCGTAATGCTTATGTTGCTGGACTCCCACGTAGTCGACTGTGGTTCGCGTCCCGGACCCGGTGGCTTAAAACTCATGCCGGGCGCGTGCGCGTGCGTGCCCAAGATCCCGAGAGGAGAATGGAGGAGGATGGGGGAAAAGGGATTGCAGCATGACCATCCCCCCTGGGGGCTGATTTCTCGCTTTCTGTCTCTATGTCTCTTTCTGTCTGTCTGGTGAGCACATGCGCCCTATAGTGAAAACCTCTCCAAAAAAACAAAGAAAAAAAGATCAGCTCATGGCGCAGTCAGCAGGTGACAGAACTGAACTCCCACATGGCTAACCACTGTTCAAATCCAAGACCCCATAGCTTGAAACTTATGCTGGGCGCATGTGCATGTGTGCCCAAAAT